GGGCTCAGCCACAGCTCACTGAGTTCAAAGTCAGGTAGGCTTCCCAGGGTGGGAACGGTGTTTCTGGTGAGAAGTCCATCACACATTTCCTAGATGGCGTAAACACTGGGGTCTGATGTCTTCATTTGCTTTTGTCAGTATTACATGTTTCTGAGATACACAAAATTTAGTTTGACCATCATGATGTTCTAACAGACCTCCTGCTGCTGCATGTGAGGCATTTCTGTGTATGATGAGTGGCGCTCTGAGCAGCTGGTTGCCCTTGCAGGAAGATAGGGCTGCGTGCTAATGTGTTAGCTAGCTGTGCAGAAAGGTGTTGGGCTCCTGGGAGAAGCAGAGGGCATTGATGGCCTGTGAAGGAGCTTGCCAAGTTTGGACTGAGGGGGTGACAGTGCTGCATTTGTGTTATATTGACCATCCAGGGCCCTGTAGCTGCCATAGCCCTCTTGTTGGCTCCCTCTGTAGCTCTTTTGTTCTTTGTGTTTGCACATCTCTTTCTCTTTCTGCTGCTCTTCCTCTCCAGTCAATGCTGAAAGTGCTCAGGGTTGGCTTGTTGCATCTTCAGCTGACGCCTACTGTCATGGTTGCAGAGAGCTCGAAGACGCATGCTCAGATGTGCAACAGCGTCCCTGCTCTTTGTCTTGTTGAGATGTACTTGTGCAGGATGGAGCTGTTGCATTCAGGCATGTAAGAACTGAGACATGATGCTATGTAGCATCCACACAGGAAAATATTTGTCTCTTCACTCCACTGAAGCACATATTATAATTTCTGTCATTATATCTATCACCATCCATTCATCTTTGCATCCATAACTAGAGATGTCGTTGTAATCTGGTGTGTGATATATTTGACAATTCCTCCTCTAACAGCTCTGATTAGTGCAGCTTTAAGGGACTCAGCCAGAATTTTGCCCCACTAAGCAGCTTTTAGTTTGGCTGGTGCTCAAGGTTGGAGCAGCTTTATGAGACTACAGCGTGTCACTATCACAGCCTGGCCGAGCTCCCTGATGGCACCACAGGGGTCTGAGGTTGTTCAAAGCAGGGTGATGTCATCAGAAGAAAGAGAAGGAAAGGAAAAGGAGAGTGTCTGTGTACTTGGCTTCACAATAGACGAGGAAATAAGCAATAGTTTTATGACTTCTCTCATTGCAGTTGAGTTATCCTGGGACATGACATTCATTTTTCATATTTTTAACCTTACTGTCCATGTCATACCTACCGGTTTTACCCTGGTTAATATTTCATTGTCTGGCCAGAAGGTTTATTTTCAGTGTTTTAAGCCTGATAAACTATTCAAAAGGTTTGATCCACTGCAGTGTCACCTCAGCAACCTTCTGTGAAATGACTGCATCAGCAACCATCTGGAAATATCAGCTTTTCATATGTTTGTGTAGACTGCAGCCTTAATGAAAAAAAAAATGTCTTGCACGTTTCTGGCTGCAAGAGAGACACATAATGACGGCACATACACACACACACACACACACACACACATGCACACACACCACAAACCCTGCATACATTCACAGAGATTAAAGAGATTTAAAGTGTGATGTGGTTTCACCAGTTCAAGACCTGGAGCAGTATTCCGTTTCACAAATCAGATTTTATGCAGTGGATACTCATATGGATCTGTGCAGATGAATCACTTGTTATACTTTTCGTCAGTGGTGAAGTTAGTTCAGCACAATGTGAACAGGCACACATCAGTATCTATATTATTAACAAGGTGAGCTTATTAGAGCTGGGACAAGAGGGAAACGAAGAAGCGAGATTGCAGATAGAAAAAACATAAACCAGGAGGAAGAGAGAGGGAGAGGAGACAAATGAGAGAAAATAAGAGATCAGAGGACAGATTGGGGGATGGTCAGAAAAGCAAAGCTAAGAGAAAGTGGACTGTAAACATGACAGAGAAACACAGGCGGATGTATGGATGTGGAATTAGCTTGAAAAGCTAGAAAAGAGGAAATTGATGTGACTGTGGAAAAGAACTGAGGTCTTCGGTGGGGTTTTAATGTGGCAGATGCCTTGGAAAACCGTTCCAAGGAATGCTGGGATGTTAGCGGCAGCCTGAGCTCCATGGTGACCGAGGCAGACTTTGCCACAGTACAGTCAGATAACCATGACAACCAGTGCTGACCAATCCACGAGAGTACACATACACCTACAGTGCATGTATGCACAGACACACACACACAGAGTGTTATCATGGACTGGTGAGGCAGGCTACAGTAGCTGTGCTGAAGCAGGCTATTAGCCATTCTTCCCTTCAGGTGTGATATCCACTGCATTACCAGGCACTTTATTAGGTACACCTGTACCTGAAGTTCAAAATGTTTCAGTTTTTGGTGAAATTGTCATAAATGTATAAATTCAATTATATGCGTATTATTGTTTTCATATTTAAAGGTGGTGTTGTACTGGATGAAATTATATTCAGAGGTGTTACTAATGTTAGGACAAAAATATATATATATATTATGTATCTATTACATGCTAAGCAACTGGGTGGAGCTTCATATACTGTACAGAAATGAGAGTGGTATATATCTTCTCATCTAACACTCAAAAAGAAAGTGAATAGGTGTATTCCATCCATCCATCCAATGAGCGAGAGGTTGGGTACATCCTAGAGAGGCTGCCAGTCTATCACAATAGGTATATTCCCAAAATGTCAAACTGATCATTTAAGGCTTCAATGCTCATCTGCATTGCACCTTTTCAAGTTACAGCTGTGTTTGGTTGCAGACTTCACAGCGGACTTGTTTGTTTAAGGGTGCGGTCAACTCATCAGCATTCTGTTGAAGATGTGTTGTCTCTGCTGACGCTTCTGTTATGTCAGAGGATTTGACTGCCTTTGCAGAAACATAAAGGTCTCTCCTAAATCTAAATCCGCGCTGAGGATCTCAGTTATTTTCCACTCTATTGTGCTGATATAAGCCAAGTGAAGTCAGACACAGACCAGCCCTCTTTAATTTCACTTGTTCTGTTTTGTGTCTCCTCCCAGTGATGGGAGGATAAATCAGGGTGCCAGATGATATAAGGACAGTTAACAGGCTGGGATTACGCCCACACAAAGTAAGTTTACCAACTCTCTGTTGGAGCTTCTCAGCTATTTTGCTGAAATCACAACATGGTTTTACAAGTTTATGACGCTCAAACAGTTAAAAATGAAAGCATCCTCCAAACCACTAAAACGCTACTTAATCCCAAAGCAACGATTTTTTCATTCATCACACTTAATAATGCATGCAGGTATTGGTCAAACATAAAAGTTGAGAGTGCCTGATCTCACAGTATTGTGTTGCTTTTTCAAAGTCTCAGCATTGGCACTCGGGGTTGAGGAAACTTAAATGCTTTATGTGATCATGCGGAGCAGCAGTAAAAGAAACCTCATCCTCTCTTCACAGGCTTTCAGCCGGAATTAAGTCATAAATTCAGTCCTGTTTTATGGCACCAGAATGTGGCTTTATTTCTTTTGGCTGTCCCAACTGGCCTACAAGGACTGTCAGAGACTTCTAAGGCTGTATCAGTGGTTTAAAAAGTGAACAACAAAACCTTCAAAGCAAGGCAGCATGTACAAAAGCAAATGGCTAAATATGCTAGACATTCAGTGGAGTCTGCAGTGTTTACTTTTGAGGCAACAGTACAGTGGTAAGAACTCAAACACTGGCTCTCATAGACACATACGCCCATGTTAACACTCAGTTACAGCCTTGTTGGACAGTGATCAGAAGATGAGACACGTCCATTGTGTTGTATTGGTGCAAAGACAGTGGGGTCTGTAATTAAAGAGCAGACTGTCTGAGTGCTGTTTTTTATTTATATCTCACTGCTCATTCATGTTTTTCTCACAACCATATTTTCTAGGCCAAGTGAATATTCCACTCCAGTTGTCATGCCAACAGATTAGCGTACTCCTGCATGGTCTCAGTAGTCAGCACTAGAGTCTAGGAGTGTTTGTGTGTCTTATGATGCACAGGGAGTGTGTTTGTGTGTGACTTCTCTGCAGGGTCTATGTGCTCTGGCATCCATTCAAATACAGTACCCACAAGCTGAATACACTGAAGTGCACGGCTGCACGCACAATCACTCAGGCACACAGTTTCATTAGCTTGCATTTGAGTAACTCACATAGCAGATTTCATATCCCATAGAGGTGTACAGGATCTATATTACTGAATAGTGTGGTATACACATTAACTGGGAACGTTTTCAGTCTTGAATTGTGAAGGTGGGTTAGAAAATTGGGACATACAGAAAATGTATCTGTCTTTTAAGGATATCATATCATAGCTTTATAGAAGGATGAATGCAGTTTCCCATCTTCCCAGTCTGTCTTGGGATAATGGAAGTGCTTGTAGAAAGCTTGAAGGTTTCAGTATTAGGTGCCCAACAGCATTTAATTCACAAGCTTTGGTGTTGAAAACAAAATCCCAGACACTAACAACTCAAAGAGCATCATTAAAAGGATTATGTGAATTAGCATTAAAACTGCTGATGTTTAGTTGGTGTAATGTTTACAATGTGTAATGTTTAGACACAAAAACCAACTGGTTATGGTTAGGAAAATATTGTGGCTTGGGTTAAAACACTTGAAACAAAACAAAAAAGCACAGATTAAAAAACACCTCATTACACATGGGATGCAAGTGCCACCCTCCTGTGGGTGAAAGTTTGATGTTTTATTTGAAAATACTGTATGAGATGCTAAAGATACTTGACATAACATCAGTATTTGACACCCTGGGAATGAGGATGGGCTCGATATTTCACTGTAAACCACAAAATGCTGGCGGTTTGTACCGATCCATCCTGTAGATGTCATGTTATTTCACTGACTAAGGAAGACTTCACATATCTGCCTCTAGCATGGCTAAAAGCGCCAAGTGACTTTGTAGCATATAGGCTAAAGCATTAAAAAACACTAGCATACTCATTTAAATCACTGTTTTCCTGTTATATTATAATGAAAGCTGGTCTAAAACATTGCACAACCTGCTAGATTAGCTTGCACAATTGTCTGCAAAAACTGGGCCAGAGAGAAAAATGATTTAAAACTCTGGGTCTACAGAAATGTATTTTAATAACTGCTGTTCTATTTTGGTTCTGGTATGTAATGTCATATCCAACAATAATACTACTACCAAGTCACACTACAGCTTTCCTTTCCCATGAGCCATAGCTTAACACCATGTGCTAAAGAGTGAACATCTTCTCTGTTGTCAATAGACAGTGTCCTTGGCTGTAACATTTACACAAGCATGATTTACACACATATAAATAAATCCAAGGACAGTTCATTTTAGACTTGCAAGTTGAGCAATTTGGTTTGTTTTATAACTGTTTCTGTTGGAGCCAGCAGGACGCTTCAACGTCTGTCGTTACGGCTGGCCTGTTTTCCCTCTTCTGACTTTTATGTCCCTTTTTTACTCTATTCTTCAATTTTTTCCACCTCCTGCCTTTCATCACTAAACCTCAGAGCTGTTTTTGTAGCTGGTCTGCAAACCGGCCTGACAGTTTATGTTCTTTTATTTTTCCCAGATATATGCACAAACATGCTTTCACACATAACTGATTTATACCATGGAACAGAAGCATGTGCACATTGGCTCCTCTGACAAAAATAAATGGAGGTGTTGTTATGGAAAGTGAAAGGTGGAGGTCCTCATCATATTCATACATGTTTAACTTTTATTTCATGGGGATTTTTGTACTGTAACCAATTTGTAACTTATTATTATATAAACCAAGTAAGTTGCACTTATTGTCTACTGTAAGACAGTTTTCAGATGGCTTAGGTGCCTTTTTGGTGGGGGTTGAGGGAAATTCTAATTTATAACATTATTTATCTAACCTGAACTAACCATCTTCCTTGGCTAATGTGACTTAGCTAATTCAGTGCGCGTTAACTACATTGGTTAACCCCAAGGCAAGAAAATCTCCTACTGTAATTATAGTGAGCATTTAATTATTTTTAGTAATACTTCCATTTTTAAGTTTAGCAGTTGTGTCTCTCATCTGATCCTGGTGTACTCAGATCAGGAAACAGGTAAAGATAAACTCTACATTGACTCCACTGTCCTGCTGCATGCTAATTAAATTCACACTCAAGTGACTGTAATGATATTGAACTGTAATTGTACTGACATAGCTCTTCAATGTACTAGGCTGTTCACCCTCCCAGACATTTTGTACTGCACATTTAATAAACAGGAAAAGAAGTCTTCTGAGTGAACTGCTAATTGTCAGTTACTAAGCTCATTAGCCAACTAGCTACATTTAGTTAAATGTAAGCACATGGTTAAAACCGGAACAGAATCCGTTTTCTTAACATTAAAGAAACAGCTGAAAATTGTACTTCCACTATCCTGTTTGCTTTCCAAACCTATTCCTTGCTGTGAGAGCTGCTGCCTGCTTCTACGGCTACAGACTTTTTCATGTGCAGGGAATACATGATTTTCTCGTCAAAACTTTCTCATCTTTTAACAGGGTTTCAGTAGGACTCGCAGACAGAACTATTTTGCAGAACAAACATGGCTGACATCCAACACATCAAGTTGAAGTTTCACAGAAACCGCAGCAACAGAGTCAAACTCCTGCTGTCAGTGATTATACACCTTCCCTGCAGTAATGATTAGTAGTAGTGAGTGGATGAGTGCTTAGAGACTCATGTGGGAGCAGAAATTAATGTCATTTAACTCAAGTGGTTCCTCATTATGCCAACTGGCTCCTGTGACTGGTTTAGCACAATTGATCCCATTTTCTGTGAAAGCTGTGGTTTATAGGCTCAAACTCATAGCTAATGTAGCTTTACATGGTTATAAATGTTTAAGGTGTCAGCTGTACTTCCTACTTTATGCAGCTTTGACGTAGATGAAGCACACACCAGCGGAAACACACACACACACACTTGTATGCAGAAGTTTCATTGTGCACCCTTTTTGGACCATTTCCAGTCAGTGCGCTTTACATCATTTTCCTCCAGCTTAGGAAAATAGAGAGCATTTTGTAAAGGAGTTAAACAAAAGTACAAACCATTTGTGGTGACGAGTGTTCTGCCAGCTACCTCGTATGATTTGGCTGTTCCCTCTAAGCAGCTGGCTGCGGGACACAAAGACACTTTCTGTGATCTGCTGTCCTCCTCTTCCATTGAACCACAGATACAAAAAAATCTTTGCTGCCTCAAGGTATACTGTGATCAAGCATCATGAATCAGTGATGGAAAATAGACTATGTGTTACATCTTCTGTCTTTTCAACCACCTTTAGAGACTTCAACTAAAATCTCCTTTAAAACATATACTGCAAAGGTGACAAGAGCGAGATGATTGAAATTTAGTCTACAGACAGTAATATAAACCAAAAAAGCTAAATTACGCCCTGGAAGATGCTGCTGCAGTGTATAATGGTTGCTAGAGATCCATGTTGCTTTGATTTCCATGTTGTCTTCAGTGTTTCTGTCATGGCGCATCATCAGGAGCTTTACTGTGTATTAACCTCCTGTTCTGACATCAAGTGTTAATCATGTTTGATGGAAGATTTTGTTACAATATGTAGCCGACGGGACCAGTTTTGTTATTATCCAGAGTTTGCAATGTTTTTACATCCTTAACATTTAGCCTCTTTCTGGTTTAAAGTTCGTTTGGTTTGGTTCTTATGTCATTTCTGAATGACACAAAATAGCATCTGTCTTGAGGGGCACAGTATATAGGTTTGCTTATAGAAATCATTTGACAGAAGAGCTTTAACTTTTCATCTTGTTGCAGCAACTTGAGGATCCATTTTAAAAAATAATGTCAAATTGTAAGTGATTTTCACAGGCGCTCTTAAATGACTTTCACAAGACGTCCTCTGGGGTTTGCTATAGAAAATACAGGGCAATACATTTTCCTCATGATTGTCTCTATATCTGCATCAAGTGTTACGTGGTTTTCTGAATTTTTAGCCTTGTCTCTTTTTACACTAGTAATGTCTGGACAAACAGAAATTTGTATTTCTCTTTCATCAGCATGGTTATCACTGCCAAGAGAGAAAAGCACAAACATGGTATCAGTCACATACTATCCACTCTGATTG